CTGTCGCTCACTGGATATTTTCTCTTTTTTGGCCCATTCTCTGTAAACCCTGCAGATCAGAAGTTTCTGAAATACTGTCTAGCATCAATAACTATACCATGTTCAAAATCATTTACATCACCTTTCGTGCAGATTTTACCTTCAGTGGGTAGTCTGGAGCATGTCTACATGCCTCTGACTGGTTAGCGGCTAAACAGGTGTACCTAATTAAGTATGTAAATGGAGAAATCTTGCTTTCAGTTGTGGTACATTTATTTTTTGGGGGAGCGGTTCTCTGATGTTTGCAGAGAATTTGAAGGTTTCTCTCGTTTCTCCATTTCATGCCTTCTTACCCACTCTGCCCTTCTGCCTGTGACCTGAAAATCGATCTCAAGTACATGATTTTAAAGCAAGTTTTAGCTTCTAAAATGCACCAATAGAAGAGAAGACGCACAGGTGCATCTTTTGCTGGGGTGTTTTTACCCTCCATGTTTACAAGAGCAGTGGCACAGTTGGAATGTACAAAGCATGATGAAAGGAGGACTCTTACCCTGCATTTTATTCTACTTACAAATTTAATTAAAAGCAGGGCTAAATATAAGAGTTATATAGGAACATTGTTGCACTCAAACACTGTAGTTGGCCTGCACTAAACACCATTATTTGACATAATTTTCAAAAAAAGAGCTTCAAAGTAAGGAATTCGCTTCACTAGGACAATTAAAGGAAACTCCAAGTGTTGAAGCAAGGTGTTAGGCCTTACTGTAGTTGTGGAGATTTTTCCTTTAATTTGTCATTTTTGTGTGTAAAACAGACAGAATATTGCTTTTCAGCCACGTCAGCCTGCCCAATTCTCTATTTTCCATGACTATCAACAGACTCAACACAGCCACTAAAGCTTTTCATTAAATCCCCACTTTTGATTGTTTTTCTTTTTTGGGTCTCATTTATTTAAAGCGCCTGTTGCCTCAACTCCTGTTTTCTTTTTACTCTTCCTCCCCTGCTTTCAAGTCCAGGCGGAGGAAATAAGATTTGAGAGGATGAACTGTGGATAAACTGTGACTGGAGGGCATTAAAGTGTGTTTGTGATCCTGGTCCCAAATGCCCAGAGGTGAACTTTTTCCGTGATTTTTCACTCTGAACTCAGACACTGGATGACGTGAGTCTTTACTGTACTGAGTCTTTTAATTCTGACCCCCCCGTGCTTTCAAGAATCACAACACAAGCCCAAAAGCTTCTGGAAAGATTTAATCTCACTTATTTTCACTGTTCTAAACAAACAGTCAGGACGATGGCAGAGGCAGAGAATGCTGCTAAACAAGTCCGATCAATCACTGAGGCTAATATCCATGATGAAATCTCATGATCTGAGAGGATGCGTGGACCCATCGCCGCTTGAGACTCAGAGACGACTGCAACGAGGGCGGTCTGATGTGGTGGTGAAAACAGACTCAAACAGGAGGGCATTAATGTGCATGCAGTTCTTCACCAGCTCCCTTAACATGAAGTGAAACAAACCGAAGATGGCTCTAACGCTCTCACACACACACACACACACACACACACACACACACACACACACAGCTGAGCGTCCCACAAACAGCTCAGGAGCTCAGCGAGCCGACTCAAGTCTGAAATCTGGTAAATAAATCAGACTTCAGCTGGCTCCAAAAACACTGTTAACGATGCTCCCAACGTCTCTCTTACACACACACACACACACACGTCTCAGAGTCACTAAATGTCTTTAAACTTTTATACATTGAGAGGGGGTGGGGGAGCCATGTAAAAGACAAGAACATGTACCCACAGATTTTAGGTAAAGGCAGGATAAAAAAATAAATTATCACCTTCATAAACCAAAAATACAATATTCATATTTGCTCTCTCTCTCTTTCCAGCTCCTGGGGTTAAGTTCCTGTGGCTGTCCAGCAGGGGGCGGTGCTGCATGAAGCCCAGCCTCAGGTACCAGTTGGAGAAACATAAATGGACAAATACGATTGGCTATCGGTAGCCCAATCAGAGGGAATAAATATATATATATATATATATATTTTTTAAATATTATTTTTGAGGCAGAGCTGGGTGATAATTCAGTGTTTTCATCTATAAAAATATTTTTTATAGAATAAAAGCTTCAAAAATAAAAGTTGAACAAACTAAGAGCTCAATGAACATGAATTTAATACTTCTGTGTGATTTTGCCTGTTTTCTGTGTTATGAAATACAGAAGGGTGACAAATTAAAGGACAACCTCACCAAATCTCACTCACCAGATCTTGTAGGTGTGCATATTTTTCCTTTTATCTGTCACTCATCTGTGTATAATATATGCCGAATATGGTTATTCAGCCACATCACCCAGCCCTAACTTAAAGAATTAGGCTGTTGTCATTCTTTATTTTTCATTATTGTCAACAAATTAGCGAGATTTGTGAAGTTTCTCTTTTTAGAGCAACCAAGCCATGAGCATTAGTTGTTTTTTTTTTGCTTTAGCATGTTCAGGCCATCTTAAGTGTTATGTGTTATGAGTAAAAGTTCAAGTCTTGACCCCTTACACACAAGACTTGTCCCTGTGGGGACATCATTTTAGGCAATCAAAAGGTCGTAGGTTTTTATTTAAAACATCAATGAAAAGTTCTTAAAATAAGAAATCAGCAACCCCATCATCTGAGGAAGCTCAAGAATAGCCACTAAACTACTACTACTCCCACATTTACTATGTTTTTAAGGGGAGGCGTGCAGACACTTGAGTTTTTTCTAAATGTTATTATTGTAACTGGTGTAAACAGCGCTGTTGCTGGAGACGACTCATTTCTAGCTGTAGCTGCAAGGGTGTCAAACATGCAGCCCAGAGGCCAGAACAAGCCCACCAGAAGGCGCAATCTACACCAATTTTACTGCTTTTCCATTGAAACGATAAATAAATCATCTACTCCTGGAGATCTGATGACATGATGTCTGGAAAGTGAAAAATATTTTGTTGTTGTTTACAAAAAAAATTAAAAATAAAAATCTCTAAAACTTTGTGTAAAAAAGTAAAACTTTAAAACCAAAAATCACTTATTTTGCTTAAAACATCTCATCTGTTGTCAGAATTGACTTCTTTTGAACTTAAAAAAAAAAGAGGGGGGGGGGGGGGGGGGCTGCAGAAGTGTCTGAGATGTATGGTCTAAACAGTCTGGCCCCGGTTGAGATCAAACTGGGCATTATGTGACCCATGAACTGAAATGAGTTTGACACACCTGCTGTTGCGAGTATCAACAGGATAAGGAAGGTGTGTCTCAGTGTTTTGGGTATTTTTTTCATGACATTTGTTGACAATAATAAATTAAGAATACATATCTGAAGCACCCTTTCAGACACTCACAGACGGAGCGAAAGTCTTGTATATGACTTTCTTAGTTCAAAGTGCGATTACACTGCTCACAATACTGGGTTTTTCTATGATGCAGTAAACATTGTGTTGTACTTTTAGCTCTCGACATCATTCTAGTGGGAGTGTTGTAAAGAAACCGTGAGGAACACTCATGTTAAAGCGACACGTGTCTGAAAGGGGCTCAAGCATTACCAACACCAGATTTGGAAAAGTGACACTTATGCTTCCAATAACCCCAAGGATGATTTCACAGGACACCGACTACTCGTGTTTTTCCTGATTCAATCTCCCAAAAAACAAAAACGAAACAAAAAAAAATAATACAAAAACAAAACAAAAATTAAAAGAAAAACAAAAAAATGGCCATACAACATTTTGAAATGCATCTACGCTCTCTCCCTGAAGCCTACTTCTATGTCTCTTTTATTTGGGGGGGGGAGTTTGCCATCTATTGCTTTCACAGATTCTTGGGTGTTTTTCTGAGCATGAGGTCTGTTCACCTGTCTAGATTTGGTTTCTGTAGAGAAAGAGTGAGGACAAGGAGGTGATGGGAGGTCAGGGAGTGAGGGAAAAAATGTGTTCAGTGGGAGGTCTGTGGGATTCAGCTGATTGACCAATCAGACAGGACGCTGTGTCCTGGGACGCTGTCAAACAGCTCCAAAGACAACTGTTCCCAGGATGTGTGTCTGTGAGCGTGTGTGTCCCTCTATCTTTGTGAGGACATCCTTCACATTTTGTTATGGTTAAAGAGCAACTTTGGTTTATTATTTCACTGTGCAGAACGTGTGAGAAGGCAGTTTCAAAACTGAAAGGAGGAAAGAGGAACGTTTCTCGTGTTCAGGGGTGTCAAACATCTGTTCCGCATATGGAGTATGGACTGCTGTTGAGCTCCAAAATCCTCTACATATGAAGATTGTGTATAAAAAAAAATACTGTTAAACTGTAATGCAAATGTAATGTCAAGAAGGACGAAAAACCGATACACACTGTTTAAATTGCACTTATTGTTTAGCTGTAAATGCACGGTTTGAAAAATGTGAGATCAAACTGGGTTGTGCGAACTAAAATGAGTTTGACGCCCCTGCTCTAGTTTCCAGATTTGTACCAAAGGACATTAAGTACTCCGCTCTGATCTGGTTTTACCTGTTGCCCCTTTTATTGTTTTTCAAACTAGTTCACTTACAGATTTTAGGCGAACACAGAGAAACCGTCCTCTTCCAACTATGCATACTCATCATTCTGAAAGTGATGGTAAAATAAACAAAGCTCTATTCAGACTGGACTGTTCTGTAATTTGAATCTTTCCCAGAAAGACGTTCCTGTATTTTAAAGTGGATCTCATCCACAACTTCATTCCTTTTAACTTATTTTTAGCCTCCCGAATGACTGAAATGAGACAGACATGTTCCTGCTGACAGAAACTTGTGAATGTCTTAAATCTCTCCATCAGGAGAAAGCTCAGGAGGTGCTCCACCACATCCTGGAATTTCAGAATGATTAAAATGGCGCCCAGAAAGACAAAAGTTACTTTAAAGATGAGCATGGCGACTACAGGGTTGTCATTTAGCTGTGGTTACGTTCAGGGAATGCATTATGTCAAAGGTCCTCACAAGAATAGAAGCACAAGCTGTGAGTGTATCTGTTGGTTCTCCGTATCATCTTTATTTGGCAGCCATTTTGGCTCCAATGTCCCACTTCCCTGCAGTTGCACGGCGATGTCCTGGAGAATCATGTTCCATATTTACAGCCGATTGTTGCTGGAAACACGGCTAGACAAACTGCACTGACAGCACAACCTGAACTATCTCACAACCAGCTGTGTGTGTGCGTATATGTGTGTGTGTGTGTGTGTGTCTGTCTATGTATGTGTGTCTATCTTTGTGAGGACCAGTTATACTTTGGGTGTGAGGCTGGTCCGCACTGTGAGACAAACCTTCTCAGGTCCTCACAAAGATACAGAAGTGAGTGATGGAGCTACAGGTTGTCGTCCCGCAGGCTTTCCAGGATCTGGACAAGGCTCTCCAGTCCAAACATGTAGCCCCTGTCTGGCCCATCATGTACGGCTGTGTCGCCGCGGAAACCCTTGAAGGTGGAGTGGGCGAAGTCGATCATGCGAACGTCCACCAAGGGGGGCTGCTGGGGCAGGGGAGCGGGAGAGGGGAAGGAACCTAAACTGGGAGCCGAGGAGGTGGAGTCTGGATGAGGATGAGGCGATGGGGGGCGTGGGAGGAAGGAGTGGCAGTCTGACTTAGGGGGCGGGGCTTGTGTGGGAGGATGAGGGGAAGGTGATGGGGAGGCTGGAGCCATCAGTCCAGACCCCTGAGAGGGCAGGGATCCTGTGTCTGGCTTCTGGCTCATGTCTGTTTCACAGGGTGCATCGGGGGCCGGGCCACAGTGGGACTCTGCGGGTGACACGGAAGTCTTCGGTTGCCAGACAGAGGGGCTCTCGGGTTCCTACAGACGAAAAAAAAAAAATCAGGTCAAACAAAGGGAATCAGTTGGAATGAGAACACTTCCAAAATCAAAAAAATTTTGAAGTATAAAAATAGTTATTTCAACATCAGGCGCACCTTTCCCTCATAGATGATGAGCAGCGAGGAAGAGTAGAAGCGATAGGATGCCTGCCTCTCCAGCACCGCTTTCAGGGTGCGAAGCTTATCCAGGATTGGCTCAAAGAGGTCCCGCCTCAGGCCCTTTCCGTTGTGCAGGTACTGGTAGAGGGCCTGGCGGAAGCCTTCGATCGACAGGCCGCGGCCGTAGTACTTGTTCCTGCACAGGTAGTGACCGGTGTTCAGCTGGTACACCTGCAGGGACAGGTGGGCAACAGCTCAGTACAACGTGAGTCTGCATTAGATATTAACAGATGTTCCCTTTGATTCAATTTAATCATTATAGCTGGAAAAATATGCATACAACCATTTATAATGTTTATTTACATATTTATTCCTTTCCCTCTAAATATTTCCACTAATTCATGAAATTGTTAATATCATGATTATTATTAGTAGGACAATTAGAACTAGTGCTCTTTGTTGTCCTAATAACAGCAGACACATGAGCTTATCTTGCAGAGGTGATAGCAGATTGCGATGATATTGCACCCGCTTCTCCTGCAGCATTCGGTTTGTTGCGGGATCAAACAATAAACTAGTGTGTGTTTATCTTTTTGTTCAGGCTCCTGATGGACCACTGTTCTCATGTGTTCAGTGGTGCGAGTCGTCCTTTGTACCTGCATGCCACACACTCTGACTCCCAGCGTCGCTGAGGTGCTTTGTTCGCATTTCCTTATCTGCCTGGCTGCCTTCTCCTCCGAGGCGTCGTCGCCGTGCTGCCGTGTGCCCATCTTCAGGTCCAGGATGCAGGGGTAAGAGAAGTGGTGCACCACGTTCTCTAACAACAGGAACTCTGGTTAAAAAGCTGCAGTTAAGGAGCCAACTGTCCTTGACCTCCACCCTTTTTTATGTTTGATCTCTTGTGCAAAAAGATCAAACAACTACTAAATCTAAAAAAACCTAAATGTCTGCAAACAAAATACTGTGCACAAACTCAACTGAAAGTTAAAGCCAGTGGGATATGACTGACATTAAGAACCCACCCAGGAAGGGAGAGATTTCCTCTCCTTTCAATCTTGATTTTTCTTCTCCCCAACAGTGCCTTTAATGATTAAAACTAAAACAAAGGCCTTCTGAAAACCTCACTCTTAACAAAAGAAAAGCCTGTCACACTCAAAGATGACAGGCCTGGGCGCTGATCATTTTGGTTATGTGAGTGCTGTTTGTGTCTGTACAGTAAATATGGAGATCCTCTGAGGTGACAGCAGCGTGCTGAATCTGCTTTGACAGAAGACAGATGGAGCTTGTTGAGGACAAAGTGTGTGCTGCTCATTCACTCCCCTCAGCTCTAATATCCAGACAGCTGCAGGCTGCTCTCTTTGAAGCTGCAGATCAAAACATGACCTCTAACCTGATAACCTCCAGCCCTCCTCTTTATTCCCACTCTGGTCTGCACAGACTCTCTCACATTTACATTCGGCGCTTCCCATTATCTGATGGCCCACAGCTGGTCATTTGTTGTGTGTCATTGCCCCTTTTCTTCTTTTCTACAATGTCTCTGATACATGAAGATGTAAAAAAACAAAAGTAAATCATCATTTTAAAAATAAAAACAAAACAATAGGTAACAGGCAAAAAAGGTATTTGAGTAGAATAAATATGTGGTCATGTTCTCCATGTTTAACCAATCAGCATCAAGACCCATCTGGGTAATTTTCAGGGATACTAGGAAGTACTTCCTCTGGCAGACCTCTAAATCATGAGAAAGGTGCCTTTAAAAACGTGACAATGTTATTCACTTCACCAATCAGTGTTTTTAATATGCTGTGATTGGTTAAATGTACCTTAAGGTACATTCATTAGCTTTTTTATCACTACTTAAATGTCAAGTTGTGCTTCCCACCTGTTGGTTTGACCACCCTGGATGGCCAGAAAAAACAATACTAGAAGTAGTTTGGGTCACTGGGAGAAAATACGACATGAAATGAAACTTGAATGAAGTTGAATGAACATGAACATCAGTTTTCAGTTTTCATACCTAACCTCTGCTTCAATAAAACCTATTGTGGATCACAAATAACTGATAAAACTGCAAAAGCTATCATATCCAAAGAGTATGTTTGAGTTAGTAATGATGAGATGTAGAATGAGACGTTTCATACACCCAACTTAAAAATAAACTATGCAGGCATTGATCATATGAAAAACTAACATACGGTATTTTATCTTAATATAATTTTTTGTAATTTTTGTGCACTAGTTTATTGCTATTTCCTATGATCATCTTTGAAAACTAGGGCCAATTAAAATGTAATATATTGTCTTAATACACAGATCAGCAGGATAAACAGCAGGACCCTTGGTTACATGAGGTAAATGGACGTCAACATTTTTGGGGAAGGATACTGAAGAGCTTTCGGTCCTTGGACTCAGATCTCATGCGGCTGAGCTGCTGTTTGTGGCAGCGAAGGCTCCAGGGATTGTGGCTGATCTTCTCTGACATCAAACCGCTGTTCCAGTCCAGCATCTGGAAGGGAACATCTGAGAGGACCTTTGGGTCGAGTCTCGGGCTCTTCAGCTCTGCCAGACTGCAGAGAGGAGAAAGAGGAGGAGAGGGGATCGTTAAAAGCAATGCAGGTGACCCTCTGCTCTGACTGCTGCATCAACTGTGGGTTTCAAGGTTATGTTATAAATGTGAGCACTGGACTGTTTGATGCCAGATGACCCAATATGAATATGAACTACAAGTTCTCTTGTTATCTGCCTTCAGCTTCTCTCCTTTGTCGTCAAATTTATGACATAGATCAATAAAATATTTTCACACGAACCGTCCTACATCAAGTGAAATCAGTCCACGAGTTTATTGTCTCCTCGAGTAGATCTTACTTATCCGAGGTCTCTGTGTCGTGCGCCTCCCTCCGATCGGGCCGCTCCTCCTTGTGTTCAGAGGTGGATGAGGAGCGATGCAGGCTGCGGCGAGAGTGTTTCCTCCTCGGCTGCTCCCTCTCTGGGGGGTCACGCTCCTCATGCTCGCCGACTCCTCCCTCCGTGTTGCTCTCCACGTAGGGGTAGGCCACCAGGTTGATGTAACCGTCGGAGTCACCTTCAAAGCACACCAGCACCACACCTGACAGGACAGAGCCAAACACAGAAAGGATGTTGGGAATTATTAAAAACATTTCAGAGCAGAAGAGAAAAAACAGACTATTGAAATACTCTGAAATGCCAAAGGAGAAACATTGCATTTTTAAAGGTCAGTATTTTTTGTACCAGCGACCCACAGAAGAGTCAGGCTGAGTCCAAAACAGATCCAGTTTTATTATTTTGTTTTTATTTTTATTAATCTGTCAGAGGTATACCCTCTCCATGATGTCATAAAAACCCAAGAGTAGAAAACGTCCTCAGGAGCATTTAGAGCAGTCTAAAACCTGAACTTTTGGCTCACAGGGATTTATTGTACATACACTGATGTCAGTATTTGAAACATTGGTCAAGTTTAATGTCAATATCTATCTATCCATCTATCAAAAAAACATATGCATCAAGATGTGCAGAGTGCTTCTAAAATTTGATTAAACAATGATTTATGGATAAAATAAGCAAACAGATGTTCGTTTGAACATTGTTATATTTAGCTTTATAAACAGACCAGAGCATGTCATCCCTGCCAAGCCAGACACTCAACATCATCCATCTTAGTCCTAATTTCATTTAGCTGTCAGTTTGCTCATCAGTGGAGAAGCCAACCCCAAATATGAATTTCAAACTTCCCTCAACAGCACAGAGCGAGTTCTCCATCCTCAGAAAACTTCACCTCCTCCTTACCCGCATCATAAGAAGTAATTTGATTTAACAGTGCCAAGCTGCGGCAGATGAAACAACCTTGACAGATACAGAAAGTCGTGCCTGGGCAGCTGTCCGTCTGTCAGTCTGTCTGCTGTTATTTAATCAGCAAGACAATGGGTAGTGGGCAGACATCTAGAGATAAATTTAGACTCCTTATGGAGCACACTTGTCATGGCACTGGGAGTCAGAACATCAGCAGGGTGGACTAGTGGGAGTACAAGCCTCCGATCAACTGCAGTACAGAACCCTTGGAATACGTCCATCGTATCTCTTGTAAAGGAGCCAAGTGTGCCAGAGACGTGGATAACCGCAACAAGAACAATTTGCAGAAATCTGTGGCATGGTTGTCCTGCCACTCCGCCCACAGAGCCAATCAGCAGCAGATGAAGCAGGAATGTGTTCAGTCCATGATGGCCAGAGACAAACACCGTCAGAGCAATCATGAAATCACACACTGGTTTGGTAAATCTCATTTTCAAGCATTGAGATAAGCATTTTCACTGATGCCGTTTTAGTGTTTTCAAACCAGATGTGACAAGTGTGGGGCGAGTCTGAATGTGAAACCACATGCTCAGTGGCTAATGAGTAGTCAATCACAAGTCACAAGCCAACTGACCGGATTACGTTCACACCATAAACAAATGTCTATGAAGATTGTTTGACACTGGACAGTGACCACCTTCTCCAAAGGCCCGTTCTGGTCTGCACATGAGTCCGACGACCATGTTCACACCTGCACAAGCAGACCACATCAAGAGGGAGAACAAACCTGAGCTCAATTTAAACAGACTAAATGCCACAGGAGTGAAAAGTGGAACATTCTCTTTATAATGTTGGTGCCTTAGTGTTGGCCTGAGAGTCTTTTCTAAGCCATTCAAATATTTGGTGTCTAAGAGAGTGTGAGTGCATGGCCTGCAGTCTAAAAAGTTTCTAAAAACTGCACGCAACTAGTGCCAAAAAACACAAAAAAACAAAACACACAAAAAAACAAAGGTTACAGATGCGACTTAATAGTTTTAGGGGCTTATGTCTGTTAAAACAAAAAAAGACAAATCACTGCAGTTTTATAAGAACACCTTTTCCAAAGCAGGAAATGCTTGGATGATGTCTCAATTAATAAAAGAATAGTATATAATCTGACCTGACTATGAGCTCAAACCTGCTAAGAGTCAGTAAGCAGTGCTCAACTGAGACGCTGCTGTTTAGTCTCGTCTGCCTTCCTTTTGGCAGACATTTTGATATCACAGAAATGAAACTAATGCTTCATAATGAAGTCTGCGTTTCATTTGCGTTTTAGTGGTCTTTGACATTTGCTTGGGTCTGTTACTACAGCAAAATCAAGTAGAAACAGTCAGACTCTATGCCTGGTGACGATGAGCAGAGCAGCTAAAGCTCTTCTCTTCCATTAAACATCCGTACTTCCTTCCTTCTTTCCTGTGAGTCTGCCTCTCCATTCACCACCAAACATTAGAAAATAAGGAATATAGAGCATGAGTGTTTGATGCTGAACCATTGAGGGTTTAGCTCCCTTAAAAGAGACCTCACTGCTGTGAAATCAATAAAATTCAACTGTCTTTTACTACTGGCTTATTCAGGCTAACAGGAGGTTTGGGAAATGTCACAAAGACATTAAAAGACCTTTTCAGATTTGCAGGGTACCGGCTGCTAATACAGGGACTTATTTTAGATTTCCCAACTACAAACAGCAGTGCCTTAACCAAAACCTTACAGCTAGTGGTGTAGTGGTGCGGGAACTTTCAACGAGATTTTGTGTTTCTACATGTCTTTGAAACCTATAAACAATCTGCCATAGTTAATGTGACTTTACATTCACTCCATTTAATAATACAGTCCTTTCATTTTCTTTCACCACAGCAGCTTGTTAACTGATCTCATTAACTGATACCCTCATGCTGCTATCATTGTTCGCTTCTCTCTTTATTAGGGTCTGTTCAGGTCCACTGTAATTTGGATCCTGTACAATTAGCATTCGATGGGATGTGGCTATGCCTGCTTGCCTTTGGGATCGAGTATCAGGCAGGTTTTCCATGATTCGTTTATAGATATGACACAAAAAAAAATGTATGTAGGCCAAAGTGCTGAACAGCTAAAAACAACCTAATAAAGTTCTAAGATGTTTTCAAGATTAGAATTTTATTGGCCCACAAAAGATAGGCAAACTAATTTAAATTAGTCGAAACTAAAGCTGTAAAATAAATGTAGTGGAGAACACTATAAGTCCCCCTTTTAAATTTGCTTTTGTGTTGTGCAGGTATCACTATGACAGAGAGAGCAAGAGAGAGCAGTTTAACTGAATACAACTAGTTTAAGTTTTTTCTTTATAGCTTTGTTGCTGTGGATCAGAGCAGCTGGAAAATTAGGTTTTTTTTTATATTTATACTTGCTGATCAGGTTACTGGAGAAAGTCCTCTAACCGGCTTTTAATCCTTTAAGTTTTAACTCTTTCTTCCATGACAACGACAACATCACTTTACCTTTAATGATGAGTTTTGACACATCAGTATATATCAATAAAGATGTGCCGACCATGGGAACAGTTTCTGGGTTTTTCCAAAGGTAGGTACATAGGCACAGACGAACCTCACTAACGTTTGATGCACACCCAGTCATTTTGTTTTATAAGCAGGCCTGAAATATGACAAAAACCTGCCACTTCATAAAAGAGGTTCAAAGGTTACTCTTCATTACTGTCAAGAGGTAAAGAGATAATAACATTTACAGCAGCAAGCACTGTTATTGTTGCTCCTGTTTTCTACCCTGGGTCGTGAGGTAGCAGCCTTGAATTTGCTGGGTGTGTCAGAGAAAAGAGGCTCCACCATTCCCATAAACTACAGGCTTTTCTCATTTCTGTAAATTGTTCCTCCTCATGTGCTCCAACCTGCAGCCTACAACCAGAACACAATACACCATGATGACGGATGTCCTAATTCCTAAAAGCAGGGGAGGCCGGCTGGAGGAACAAAAAAATTTGAAAATGCACAGATGATCTGCCCTTCACTGTTTCTGTGTGAGGTTTATTATTGTGTTACATTGGAAATTGTTAAGAATTTAATTAAACGTGGCCCTAAATATAAACATGTCACGCACACTGTCTGATAACATAAAGTCCTCGCCATCTCCGACAGGAGAGGACTAACCCCCAAAGAGAAACGAGATACGACAGCTGCTATGTTATTAACCAGTTATTTGCACATAAGCACTCTCTTGAGTCAGTTTGCTTAACAAAACTGATTGCTCGCTGAATAGGCAAACAGCCAGACAATTAATTTACTTGTTTTATTTTAATTTTTTTTTAAACTTGCCATTGTTTATGTCAGTTACTGCCTGCATTTAAGCACATCCCATAATGGAGCTCTAGAAGTACATCTGACTATAAACCAACAACTCCAGCTATCTCCCGCCTGCTGCTCTGGTACCTGACATCAGTGAGCAGTCACCGACCTTTATACTCTGGAGTGAACTCTTTCATCTCAGGAGGCAGGGACTCGTAGAAGCGCTGCTCTCTGCTGATGAGAGGCTTACACACCGTGTGGTCATCATAACGCATCATACTGGTGTGACCGCCCACCTGAAAACACAAACACATGCAGAACACATACATAAAAAAAGCTAAAAGGCAAAACAAAAAGCTAAATGTCTTAACAAAGAGACGATATTTACAACTGCTGCCTCTTTAAAAAAATTATTATTATACCACAATTATACCAGTAAGTGCTTTAAATTTACATGTAGTATGAACAACCTCTTAATATTTATGTTTCTGAATGTTTGGCAGTTTTCCTAATGCAAACGTTCCTTTTTTAGATGAAGACTTTTCACCGTCACCCACTGTTAGCACTCACCTGGTGTATAAAAGGCTCCAGTGGAACGCCTCCTGCTCGTGGTCGTAGTGAAGCCCCTCCCCCTGTGCCCGTCCCCTGTAGCTTGCTGTCCATGTTGTTGGTGTGAGGGAGGCACATGGCTCCTGGCGGACGCACCGCGCCTCCTCCTGTAGATAAGAGGGAGACTTAACCACAAGGAAACAGCCGAAAAGTCCTGAACTCCTGCTGTAGTTTCAATACTGATAAAGCGAATTAATTTATCTTTGGAGTAATAAAGTTTAATATTGCACTATATTGAATACTGAACTCCACATTTTAAAAAAAAGTCATGTTTTGCATATAAAAATGAGTTCCTTGTGATTTTTTCAGGACTGTCTCAGTAAAACCTAAAATGAAACTGCTTTGTGGAAAATCTGTACTTCATGTCCATCAGTTTGTACAGTTTGTACAGTTTTTACATGTTTCATTAAGTCTACTGCTTTTGTTATACCGAGGAATTCCTGACTCAGAATTAGCCTTCAGAGGTGACTCCACATAACAGTAAATGCAACTGTGTTATTTGACAGAAGCTTTGTAATTGGTAACTCACAAAACAAACATTCTACATGATAAAACTCATGTAGTTTTCTTTGGCAGAGAAGATGTTTCACTACCAGTATTTTACACAAGTTATAGGGTAAAAATACACATCTGCATAGTTGCATTTAAAATTACAAAGTTAAGTTTTAGAGTCATTCTTGTCAGCCAAAACCTTTCACAATTTTCTCACCTGGACAAGCCTTTTAATATCTGGCATCTGGCAAACTGGCCTTTTATGAGCTTATTAATTTTATTTTGTGGGGTGACCAAAACAACAACAACAAAAAAACATTCTCTTATAGTGTGCATTGTTACAGCATGTCCTTTCACCCTCTGTGGGAAGCCTGTCTCCCCTCTCAGAAAGCTGACAGATCGAAAGTGAGGTAACATTAGTTAATTACATAACAAGCGCAAACCTCTAAAGAGCTGACTATGAACCATTAGTTTAACTCTGAACAACACGCTTTAGCCTCAGCTGTCTCTGGGCTGTGAGTTTATACGTGAATATAGCCAAGACTTGAAGTGACAGGAAATTTCAGTCACACAACCTCTTTGTTATAAAATCAAAGGTTTGGCAGGAAAGAAAGGCAAGTTAGAAAATGACTTGAAGGTAAAGACTGATTTACTTTAGATTTATTGTCAATTTGGCTGCATAAAAAACACCATTGAATAGAGGGCATAAAGCAGGACAGACACAAACCTATTTAATGTTTGCTGCATACCACTCATAAACTAAACACAAACCAGTTTCCTCATTGTTATGGGGAGACTGTTATTGGAAATTAAAGTGTGCATGATATGGACCAGCACTGATCCTGAAATATAAAGATGTGCAACACACAAGAGAATGTTGACAACTATGCATTAAAACTACAAGTAAAAAAGAACAAAAAAAAAACTGTAATCAGAATAAAAGTTAAATCTAGCAAATACCAGAACACTGCAGCTGATCCAGCACCTGTGCAAAACATACTGGCTGTGGATGGGAGGAGAGCTGACTGCTAGAAGCTAGAAAACATCTGTGGAGTGGCTGAAGTTTTGTTTTTTTTTCTTGAGGGGAGGGGGGGGGAGGTTAAATTATCATCATCATCATCAGTAGCAGCAGCAGAAGTAGTAGTAGTAGTAGTAGTAGTAGTAGTAGTATTTAAATTGATTTGAAGGGTGCCAAAATGTAAAAACAACCCATAAATATTAAAGAACTGATAATAAAAGGGCAAAGAACAAGAAACAAGACCAGATTTAAGACAGGTGGGAGGAGTTTAGAAATGTCATTGTAATGACCTGAATGAATGAGAAAATTTTTCTAATACGTCCATCTTACACCATTTATAAACAAAAATAGCTACACACGCTGACGAGTTGGAGAAAGATGAGGATATCCCAAAGCTTGCTGCTGTATTTTTCTTCAGCAGTTAGGAAAAGTGTGGAGAGGACTGACTAGAGTTGGAGTTGGGCTTGTGCTGCAGTTATTGTTTAAAAGTGTTAAGTAGGGATGGGTATCGTTTAGGTTTTATCCGATACCGGTGCCAAACCGGTACTTTTGAAACGG